GAGGAAGAGAGACAGAGAGAGACAGAGAGAGGAGAGAGACAGAGACAGAGAGAGAGAGAGTGAGAGCGAGAGCGAGCGCACTCTCAAAAGACACCTCAGAGATCAAAGGCCCCGCAGAGGAAGTTCCCCCACACAGATTTCCACTTCCCACGCGACCCCCTTTCCTGGACCTGAGGTGCCGTTGGTGCAGGAGGGTCCCGCCCAAACCCGAGCCCTGGAGGACCCGCTGGGGCGGGTAGAGGAGGCAGCAGCCCTCAGCTGACTGGCCACAGCCCCTCCCCACCGAGAGAGAGAATGAGAGAGAGAGAGAGAGAGAGAGAGAGAGAAGTGAAACCACTGGGCAGTGCCCTGCCCGCAGGACTGCCCATCCCAGCTGGTGTCCGCTGAGCCTGAGTGTCCTGAGTGGGTGACACCTTCCCCCCACAGGGTGTGGGGCACCTAGGAGAGCAGGCTTGGCCTCCTCTGCCCCATGTGGGGCGTTTTGCTCGTCTGCTCCTGAGCAGAGGGTGGATTTCCGTGGGGACCGGGGGTGATTTTGCTTCTGAGGAGGGACGGTGGGCATCATGTTGCTGGGAAAACAGAAGCCCGGGCACAGACGCTCTCTCAGGAGGACAGTTGAGTGTTCATCTTCCTCCTTCCCGTCCCTCGTACGGGTCCGGCGCCTGGCACCTCGGGGCAGCCGCCCACCACAGACCGGGGGCCAGGCCCACACCACCACCTGCAGACTTGCATGTCCAGAAAGGAAGACCTTGTCCCATATCTTTCAGGAAGCCGGTTCCAGCCACAGCCATGCTTCAGACTGCTCTCCACACGTTCAGACGAGCCTCACGCATGAAGGAACTGGCCGAGGAACCCAGGGTGCCAGCCCCTCCACACTGGGCCTCCCCCCGCAAGGAAACCCCCAGGTATGTATTTCATGGAGGTCCCACATGGGGTAGACACCTTGCCCACCTAAACTGGATTCTCCCACTGAGACTCTGAAGCAGACGGCTCAGCACTCCCTCGAACCCACTGCTAAAAGCCCTGATGTGTCCCCCCATGACCCCTGGGGACCAGGGGGAAAGGGATCTGGTCTCTTTGCACAGGGATCACTCCTGGCAGCGCTCCAGGGACCATATATAGTGCCGGGGGGGGGACCCCGGCAGGCCACATGCAAGACAAACGCCTTTACTCCAGCCGGGATCTGGCCCTCGTTGGGTGGTGCCCTGACAGAGAAGGGCAGGGTCATCCTCCCCATGGGCTGGGTCCCTCGGAAACGTGTGGGACTTCCTCGTGGGAGGGGCTGAATCCTCAGCGCACCCCCCTGACTGACGTGTGAGAGATTGCCACGTGCTTAAGCCCAATATTTTTTGTGGGGGGGGGTCACACCCAGCAATGCACAGGAGTTACTCCTGGTTCATTCACTCAGGAATTACTCCTGGTGGTGCTCGGGGGACCCTATGGGATGCTGGGAGTCGAACCCAGGTCGGCTGCGTGCAAGGCAAACGCCCTCCCCGCTGTGCTATCGCTCCAGCCCCTAAGCCCAAGTTTTTTGTTCCTTTCTGGATCACATCTGGCAGTGCTCTGGGGCACTCCCGACAGTGCTCAGGGAACCATGCCGTGCCCAGGACCAAAACTGGGTCCCCTGAGTTCTCAGCACACCCTCAGTTCTCTCGGCTGCCTGCCCCGCCTGGACCCCTGAGCTGTGGTCTCTCTTACAGCAGTCTGGCCGCCCCCCCCCACCCCTCCCCCTACCCCGTGCCAAGCACAGTCAATTCCAGCCCATTCCACAGTGCCAGGACCCTGGCCCCGAATCCCCACCCTCAGCCCTCCTGGGGGAAAACAAACCCACTCCCCACTGGTCTCTGCAAAGCCGGAGGCCACTGCCCACTCCTTACAGTCTGATTCCTCCCACAAGGACCATTTCTCAAGCCGTCCATCCACTTGGAAGAAAAGGCTCTGCCCTGTGCCTGGCGTGGGGCATCGTGTCCGAGTGACCGGGTCCCGCGAGAGGCCTGGCAAGCAAGCTGTTCAGACCCACGCCCATCTCCTCCCCACCACTGAGCCGCCTGGGACCCTCCCTCAGGCGGCTTCTTCCTTAGTAAAATAAAGCCCCTAGGCGCCAGGGAGGTGGATACAAGGGCGGGACCCCAGGTCCGGCACGTGTGTGGCCCTGGGTTCAATCACTGGCACGACACGTCTCCTCAGCACCACCAGCAGTGGCCCCTTTGCCTCTGGGCACTGCTTGGGAGGCCAAAGAAAGAAAGGAAAGAGACAATGAAGATAATCTTCATGGTTGGGAGGTTCGAGGAAAGAATTCAAGGTTATACATTTGTAGAGTTGCCTGCGGCTGCGTGCCTGGCACGCAGTAAGTGCTCACTAAACCATGCATTTTTTTTTTCTTTACCACACCCGGCGGTGCTCAGGGCTTCCTCCGGGCTCTGTGTTCAAGGATCACCCCCAGTGGGGCCCAGGGAAGCACCAACGATGCTGGGGGTTCCAACTGGTCGCTGGGCTGTCTGCAAGGCAAGCGCTTACTGTCCTGGGCCCACATCCGGCCTGCTGCGGGGGTGGAGGGGGTGGTGACAAGTGAGGAGGCCACAGCTGGAGGGCCCCCCCCCCCGCAGGAGCCTCCCAAGGGGAGGGGGGCCGGCCAGGAGGAGGCGGAGGGGGGGAGGAGAGTTGGGCAGCGGTCACAGGGAGGCAGGCCCGAGCTGGCCGTGCTATCTCGGGAGGAGAGGGCGCCCACCTGGGGCGGGAGCACAGCTGTGGGTGCCTCTATCAGCTGCCACCAGCTCATCCAATTCCTGTGCCCAGCTCACCCGCCTGTCCCCACCCTGCACCTCTGTCTGACCCACAGCTGCTGTCCTGGCCTCTTCTTCCTTCCTGGCCCTGACAGCAGCTGCGTTGCCCGGGACCCCCTTGGCTCTGCCGCCTGGGCAGTGCCTGTACCCCATGTATGTGTGTGTGGGTGGGTGGGGGGACGCAGAGGCTGGGCTCCGTGCCCCGGGCGTGCGGTGGGTGAGGCGGCTGGTCCACTCCTTCGATTTCCTCATCCACAGCCCTGGATAATAGTCCTGGACGGGCACAGGAATGGGGACACACATGGCAGGCGCCTCGACATGCAGCCCCGCGAGGGGCCGGCTGCCCACAACGTGGACGGGGCGGGGGAGTGTCCGCGGGGGGTGTGGCTTCATGCCCTGTGGCCACCCTTTCGAAATCCGTCGTCAGGTTTCGGAGCAGGGACCCCCACGCATTCTGCCGTCGGGTCTGTGGACCGAGGCAACGGCAGGGCGGGCCAGCGCGGGGAGCTGGTGGAGGTGTTGGGGGGTCCTCGGAGTCCCGGGCACCCCCGCTTAGGCTGCCGGAGTTCTGCTCTAAGAGGGCTGAGTCCTCACAGTGCTCCCCTCACAGGGACCAGGGCGCGAATCCCCCCCCCACACACACACACGCCCACTTTCCTCTCTCAATCATCCCCACCCAGGGCAAAAGTGGGGTGGGGGTGAGCCCCTCCCTCGCGTCAGGAGGTGCTCCCCCCTGCAGCCCCGGGGCCAAGAGCCCTTCCGGAGCCCTGGACGCGGCTTGGCAGATCACACGCCGGGAGGCGTGAGGCCCCGAGTTCGACTACCAGGACCCAAGTAATGGAGCGGAGAATACGCAGCAGGCTGGGCCGGGGGCTGGGGGTGGCTCGGCCAAGCCACAGCGCAGACTTTACCCCGGGGAGGCCCGGTTTGATTCCCGGCAGTGCCCCGTGTCCTGAGCGTGGCAAGCAGGGAGCACGGAGCCGTTAAGAGCAGCCCCTGAGCACTGCTGGGGCGGGGCCCGGGACACACGGAACAAAGGGAAACCTACGTGGCCTAAGCCAGCAGGTCCGACCTGTCCTGTCCAGGGGGCAGAGCCCTTGCACGTGCCCAACCCGAGTCCCAGCCGCAGCAGCCCGTAGGGCCCCCCAGAGTGAGCCCTGAGCACAGACTCAGGAGTAAGCCCTGAGCACTGCTAGTTGCAGCCCCCAAGACAGAACAAAGCGATGAACACGGCCCCTCTGGTCCAGCTGAGTCTCACGGCTCAGGAGGACGGTCCTGGGGTCACGGGAAGAGAATCTGCTTCGACAGTAGGGCCCGGGCCTCACCCGGACGAGGCCAGGCTGGCCTTCGTCCCCAAAGCCACCCAGAGGTGTTCCTTCCCACTCTCAGGGACCCGTGCCTCCTTTCCTTGATTTTTTATTTTATTTTTATTTATTTTTTTGCTTTTTGGGTCACACCCGGCGACGCACAGGGGTTCCTCCTGGCTCATGCACTCAGGAATCACTCCTGGCGGTGCTCAGGGGACCCGATGGGATGCTGGGACTCGAACCCGGGTCGGCCGCATGCAAGGCAAGTGCCCTCCCCGCTGTGCTATCACTCCAGCCCCTTTTCCTTGATTTTTAAATTTTCGGTCACACCTGCAGTGCTCAGAGCTGACTCCTGGCTCTGACTCAGGGGTCCCTTCTGGCGGGCTGGGTGGGGCCCCAACAAGGCAAGCACCTTGCCGACTGTGCCGGTGTCTAGTCTCTCTCCTTGATGCTTCAGCCCCAGGTCAGTGCACCCAGACGGTAGTCTGGAGTAGTTGGGGTAGTGCCTTGCATCCTCAGGAGACACAGAGGCTTCTGCGGGGGCTCCCAGGAGCCCCCACCACAACCTGAGAAGCCATGTCCCAGGGCTGCTCTGGGCCCCTCAAAAGGCAGGCCCTGACAGTGCTGGGGGGTACGTTCATTCACAGCAAGGGCTCAGCAGATGATCAGGGACTCAACCTTCGGGAGTTCGCCCACTGCCAGGATCCTGCCTCAGTTTCCCCAGAACGAACCCCCTCCCGGCAGCGTCTGGGAGAGCCTGAGGGTGGCCCAAACCGCCGGGAGCCTGGAAGAGGAGGCCCCTCTCCATCCGCCTCCGGCCACCTGTCCGGAGTCCTCACCGCCTTCACACAGCTGGAGAGGGGCCCCCAGTCCCTACTCAGGGGGCGGGGGGCAGCTGTGGGGATGTTCCAGGGACCTCCGCCAAGGCCAGGGAGGCCCCCTGGAGCAGACGGGGTGCTGAGTGTGCGAGTTCGGGCGGGGGTGGGGGAAGGCGCTGGGGAGGAGTGGGAATTGGGGGTGGGAGCGGGAATGGAATGTGGCGCCCCTCTCCAGGGGACACAGCTGTTCACGCTGGTCTGCTGTCAGCGGGCGGCACAGCCCTATCGAGGCCGATCCAGACACGGCCCCTCCTCTGTTGCTGGGCTGGGCAGGCAGACACGGCGGCTCGCACCTCCCGGCCTCCCAGCTCCCAGCCAACAAGAGACGCCGGAGGAAAAGGAAACGCTCTCTGCTGGCTTGCCTGCCTCGGAGCGGCCTGGCTATTTATCTTGCTGGACCCACAGGACTCAGAGGCCCGGCAGAGAGGGGCCAGAGCAATAGCCCAGCAGGGAGGGCACCGGCCTCGCACACGGCCAGCCTAGGTCCGAGCCCTGCATCCCCACGGTCCCCGAGCACCACCAGGAATGACCCCTGAGCACCACTGGATGTGGCCAAAAACCAAGCGGACAAACCAAGGTCACACAGCAGGGCAGCGGAGCCGAGTTCAATCCCCAAGACCCCATCCCGTCCCCTGAGCCCCACCAGGAGTGATCTCTGGGTGCAGAGCCGGGGTAAGCCCTGAGCACTGTCAGGTATGCCCCAGAACAAACCGAAAGAGCAGGCCAGGGCCAGAGCTGGGGTTCGGCAGGCGAGCGTTTATCTGCCTTTCATGTGTGAGGCCCTGGTTCCATCCCCAGCAAAATCACACACACACACACACACACACACACACACACTCCACATATACACACACACATACTCTACACACATACATACACACACATCACACATACATGTACCCACATACACACACTCCACACCCACACACTCCACACCCACACACTCCACACACATACACACACGCACACTCCACACACATACACACACATACACACACGCACACTCCACACACACACATACTCCACACACATACACACATCACACATACACACACATCACACATACATACACACACTCCACACACACATCACACATACACACACATCACACATACACACATCACACATACCCACATACACACGCTCCACACACACACACTCCACACATATACACTCACACACACATACACACACATACACACACGCGCACTCCACACACACATACTCCACACACATACACACATCACACATACACACACATCACACATACACACATCACACATACCCACATACACACACTCCACACACACACTCCACACATATACACTCACACACACATACACACACATACACACACGCACACTCCACACACACACATACTCCACACACATACACACATCACACATACATCACACATACACACATCACACATACCCATATACACACACTCCACACACATACACTCACACACATACACATACGCACGCACACTCCACACACACACATACTCCACACACATACACACATCACACATACACATACCCACACACACACACTCCACACGCATACACTCACATGCACACACATATACACACGCACACTCCACACACACATACACACACATTCCACAGAGACTGACTTTCTATATAATCTGAAAACGTTGCATTTTTCATGTTATTACAGAACTGGAAAATATTGAAAAAGGGTTGGAAAAGTCGAGGGGGAAAAAAAGCACTCATCGTGCCTCTGAAACGCAGCCACTGCTAATTCCGCTTCTGGTATATTTTCTGCTACTTCATTTCTACTAGGTACGCATCTATGAATGTGTGTGTAACATGTATAGTTGAAAATATTATATATATCTGTATATAAGTAAAACTCTGTATTGACTTTTCTTCCCTCACGCAACCATAAAAGTAATCTGTGCGTGACCCCAGGTTTTCACAAAGTGACTTTGGTAACGGCTCTCGAATGTTCCATGCTGTATCAGGGGGCACTGTAGTGATTCCGATTTTTTGTCACCGTCCATAGCGCTTGGGTGAAAATCATCAAGGATGGTGTCAGTTTTTGCTTGCTTTTAGGCCAGACGCTTGGGTGCTCAGGGCTCACTCCTGGCTCAGTGCTCAGGGACTGCCCCCCCCTCTGGCAGGGCTCAGGGCGGCCAGAGGCAAGGCAAGCGCCCTACTTACTGTCCTGTCTCTCCAGCTCAGGGACTGTTTATTTCCTGCAATTACGGTTACGGAATCTAGTCAGAACATGACTAGATTCTGCTGCTTTTAAAGTAGAATTATTTTTTTTCTTTTTGGGTCACACCCGGCGATGCACAGGAGTTACTCCTGGTTCATGCACTCAGGAATCACTCCTGGTGGTGCTCGGGGAACCATCTGGGATGCTGGGAATCGAACCCGGGTCGGCTGCGTGCAAGGCAAATGCCCTACCCACTGTGCTATCGCTCCAGCCCCTAAAGTAGAATTTTAAAGGCAGCAGGTCGGAGTATTTGGGAGACAGTCAGTTTTAGCAGAACTAGACAAACTGCTTCCAAATAATTTATCATCGAATTCAATCCTTTTCCATTTTTTTCTCAGATGCCACCTCTGAGAAGACATTCTTGGTTAAGCCTCTGCAAGCAACTGCTTCCTCCTCCCGTTCCTCATAGTCCTGTCATTCAAAGCTCTCTTGCCTCACAGGCGCCCAGAAGCAAACACGCGCTCATGTCCTGCAAACACGCGCTCATGTCCTGCACGTGTGCTGTACACTGCTGTACCCACACGCGGAGCCCTGGACCAACCACGGGAGACAACCCGGACCAGAAAAAAACCACCAGCTCTTTACCTCAGGTGGTCCCAAACTCAGTGCAAAACCCAACCCAGCTCAGCTGCCGCTCGCCGTGGGGACAGCTGGACACTGCAAGGAGGGAGAGACGGCGGCGCAGGAGACTGGAATGTTCCGTGGTTTAACACACGGACGCGGGCGCTGAGATGTTCGTTAAACCATATTCGAGTGTGAGCCACTGGTGGCCCACGCCGGTATCGAGGTGTCGAGGAGGAGGAGGTGGAGGGGGTGGGGTTTTGTTTTCGTTGTCAACTCCAGGTCAATGAGGACGAGACAAGAGCCCTAGAAGGGAGAGATCTGGCTGGAGGGGGATGGAGGGAGGGAGGCCAGCCCTGCACGGGGCTCCTACCCTGCACGGGCCGGTTTCCACGCTGGACCACGGCTGCGGCTCACTTCTGGCTGCACCATCTCCACGCGAGGGTCACAGCTAGGAGGACCAGGAGGCTTTCACCCAGAAGGCGTGTCCCAGCCCCACCTGGGGACCACGGCCCAGCCCAAGCCTGAACCTGGGGAGAGAAAGGAAGGACGCTCGGGGACAGAGGAAGAGGCTGCCTGCAGCCCCCGCCACTGTGGTCAGGCTGATTCATCCCGGCTCCCAGGATGCTCGGGCCGCGCCCCACCTAGCCCAGCTCTCACGGCCACCGCCCTCCTCTGCTTCCTGCGCCAACGGCAACACCTGTGCAGCACGCGGGGTGGGGCACTGGATTCCTTCCCGTCCCCTGGCCTGGCCTGGCCCACCAAAGAGGCTCCTGGCCTGAACACCCGGGCCAGGAGAGAGGCCAGGTGGTCCCGGCCGCAGCCTCCCAGCAGCGCCCTCAGGCTGGCGCGGAGCAGAGGCACTGGGAGTAACCAGGGCTGCCCGGACACCTGTGTCCTCACCAGCCCACACTGTCCGGTTATACACTAACCTACCCTCTTGCACAAAGGCCGCTTAGAGGCCTCCACAGCCTGCTCCACCCATCCCGAGGCTGTGTTCGGGAGGACGACTCAGCAGGGAGCGAGGCTATCGGACATTCCCCAGTGGGCGGGCACACACTCACAACACACTCACACACACACGCACATGCACACGAGTGCATGCTCACACACTCATGCCACTTGCACCCATTCACACACGCTAAGACACACCCACTCACGAGTGCACACACTCACACGCATATACTCACTCACGCTGTCACACGCACACACTCACGGTCACTCACACTCACGCACACACATGCACACGCACATTATACTCACACGCTCTCACCTGCACACACACAGTCACACACATACACTCTTACACACATGCACACATATACTCACACTCACCTGCACACACACACAGTCACATACACATACATTCTAAATACATGCACATATATTCACATGTTCTCACATGCACATATACTCACACACCCTTACATGCACACACTCACAGTCACGCAAACCTCTCACACTCAAGCACATACTCATAGACACACACTCACTCACACACAAATACACTCACAAAGGCCAGCTCAGGTCAAAGTTCCTCCAGACACCAGGCTCAACGCAGATTGGCTAGATGACTCTGGGCAAGTTATCAAGCCTCTGCCTTAGTTTCTCTATCTGCAAATTAAGAAAACCTTTCCTGAATTTTTTTTTGGGGGGAGGTTGGGGGAACCACACCTGGCAGTGCTAAGGGCTTACCACTGGCTCTGCATTCAGGGATGACTCCTGCAGGGTTTGGGGGACCGAACAAATTGCCCAAGATTGCATCTAGGTCAGCTACGTGCAAGGCAAATAACCTACCCACTGTACTATCTCTCTGGCCCCCTTTCGGGATTATTGCAAGAAGTGAATTAATGCGGTATCATGACCAAAAAAACCCCAAACAAAAAAGAAGTGCTAATAACCATAGTGATTACATAGTAGCACAGTAGCACTGTCCTGTTGTTCATCGATTTGCTCGAGCGGACCCAGTAACATCTCCATCGTGAGACTTGTTGTTACTGTTTTTGGCATATCGACTACGTCACGGGGAGCTTGCCAGGCTTTGCCGTGCGGGCGAGATCCTCTCGGGAGCTTGCTGGGCTCTCCGAGAGGGGCAGAGGAATCGAACTCGGGTCAGCCAGGTTGGCCGCGTGCAAGGCAAATGCCCTATCTGCTGTGCTATTGTTCCAGCCCAGTAAATAATTAAAATAAAGACCCCGGCCCAGGGGCCCTGATTTGAGGTCTGGGGGT